CCCCCCGCGGTGAAGTCATACAAACAGCCTGGACCGGGGACGGCTGTGCAGTCGGCGGGGGGGCCCGTCGCAGAGCCGATACTCCGCCACGCGCCGCCCCGCGCCGCCCCGCGCCGCCACGCTGCCTGCATGCAACAGGCTGCGGCCACAGCGGTTAGTGGACAAGCCCGTGTGATGTACGCCCGATGTGAAACTTCGCCTCTTCCTTCCCACTCGGGGGACAACGGGGCTGAGCCGAGCTGAGTGCCAGCATGCTGATGTATACGCCGGCATATCTGTCTGCGCGACAGTCGCACTCTGTGTGCGAGTGCGGATAGGAGATAGAAGCCACGTCACATTGTGTGTGTGTGTGTGTGCGTGAGCGAGAGGGAGTGAGAGAGAGAGAGAGAGAGAGAGAGAGAGAGAGAGAGAGAGAGAGAGAGTGTGTGTGTGTGTTCTGTGAATGAAGCAAACCCACGTGCACTGTTAACATTTTCTGTTATTTTCTATATATTTTGGCAACAAAAAATTACATCCCATTACAGCTTATCCATAAGGTATTGGACAAATTCCACATTTAACCGGTCGATTTTATGCCGAACGTCGAACGTCAGTTAAACCTTTTTGCATTGTGTGTTAGGTATAACCATAGAGGATCGAATTTCAAGACAGCAGTGATAGCCATGGCGTTCGCCTTCGTAAATGAGCTTAGTGCATATTTACGCGCGTTCATTCTCTCTCTTTCACACGTGTGTGTGTGTGTGTGTGCGCCGAGAGGAACACAGCTTCAGAAATGAAGGAGAGGTGACAGACGTGCGCTGCTGAGCGGCCGGTGAATGAGAGGCGGTGTCGAGCAAGGCGCTGAAAGGGAGGACCGCGGGCGACTTTCTGCCGGGGGGCGCGGGCTGGCGCGGGCGGCGCCACACACGTCAAGGAGTCGTCACCCTCGTTAGCACCTCTAGGTCCGGGCCGTGCAGGAGGGCAGGCCGGGTTGATAAGCGATCCGCTTTCCCAGCAGCGGGCAGCTGGCGCGTGTTCGCAGAGCTTCTCGGGGACCGGCGAGATGCCTATCTCCCCTGTGTGTGTGTGTGTGTGTGTGTGTGTGTGTGTGTGTGCCTGTCTGCTTTTGTTGTGGCGGGCGGCCCACCCCCTGAATCAAGCCGGCCGACACATCGGGCGCGCGCTTTACTAGCCGTCAACAACATCGCGCCGCCTCCGTCGGCAGCACGGCGCTCCGGCGCAGCGAGCTTTCTTTAGAACAGGTTCGGCGTGGCGCGGCGGCAGTAAGATGAGACGCGGGGGCCCAAAGTGTGTGGCAACACGGCAGCTGCAGCCGTGTGCTTGCTTGCCACGCACGACGCGCGGTGGTGGTGGTACGAACTAAAGCAGGCGCGCTCATCCGGCTGGCTACCGCGACCAGAGATTGACTGTCGAGGTTTTTGCTTCCTTTTTTCCCTCCTCATTTTTTTGCGCGCGTGATCCTCCGTTTACGATTCCACGCGCTATTCGTCCCACCACCACGCCCGCTGCCCCTTCTGCCCCGGCACTCTCGATAGAGAAGCAGATCACTGGATCATATAGGTGAGAGGGGCGGGGGGAGTATTTGCGGGACAGGTGGCTTTCTCTGCGCACTATCGGCAGCACTATCTGCGCGGGGCGTGGCCGCTGGGGGGTGACACGGTCTCAAATTGATGACTCCGCACCGGTGATGTGGAGTCCGGTCCCGCATCGAGAGCGGCGCTTAAATGAGATCAAACGGCCGTAATCTGCCTCGGCCGACGCGTCGGGCCACAAGTGGGAGGTCTTGTCGTGTTACATTTTTCTCAGCCTCTTGGTAGATTGTGTGTGACGCCATTATTGTACGTATGTACACAATAGGGAATCCATGTACGATTTTATCTTAATGCATAATACGTTTATAAGAGAGAGGGTAAGAGAGGAAGGGAGAGAGAGAGAGAGAGAGAATGAGAGAGAGAAAGAGAGAGAGAGAGAGAGAGAGAGAGAGAGAGAGAGACCCTTTTTCAGTCCATGATGACAACAACACTTTTCTCCTGTCGGCCCGAGCGCGTCTTAGTCGCTAATGACTGCTAGCTGCTGCTACATGCCCGGCTGACAGTCCCGTCAATTAATAGCAATGTGTCGGCCGCATATACGAGCCCCCGACGTGCTGCCCCCGGAGGAGTTGAGGTGTATCAGTGCCAGTGCATCAGAGGCGTTGCATACACTCGTAATGCAAAGGGACATTAAAGTTGGAACGTTTTTGTGCACATCGAGATCGGATACAATTTTGTTCTTAAAATTGGAAAAATTGTGTAAAGTGGGCTTGAAGCTTGACTAGTGAACGTGTCGACATAAGAGCAGGCTAGAGTGCATTCCACGTACTTAGCCTGAAGCGACAGTTTAAGTCTATCATGAAACTATCGGCTTATACGCAGAGGAGAGCTTTTGACATATTTTGCACGCTCAGCGTCGCCTGCATTACTTGGTCGGATGAGCCGTCTCTGCGCCGTTACGGAGCGCACTCAGCGACCGCTCCAGGGTGACGAGCACGCGCTATTGAGATGCAAAACGAGCGGTCTCGGACTGGAGCTCGCTCTGGGCGCAGTGCTAATGCGCAGCAACCTCACACAGCAGCCATTTAGACGCATAGGCGATCTGCAGTTTTCGAACACCAAAGCCATCGCCAACCATCGCTGTTTATGTTAAGGTATTCAGTTGCCGCATATTTGCCCAGGGTACACTGACTCCCTTAAACTAAAAAGCATATTTAGTTTACTAAAACCCCGATTGGTAAGGAAAGGTCTGCAAATTCTTTCTTTGCAAGCCTGCGACTGATTGTGTGTTAAGGCTGTAAGACAGTTTCGGTTTTCCCCTTTACAAAACAAATAATCTATTACGATGTTCAACCTGCTCATCTTCTTCCCCTACTTCTACCTCTTCTACCCCTTCGTCCCTTGTTTCCCCCCTTTCTCCCCCTCCGAGTCCACCTCGTATTCAGTTCCCGACATCCATTATGTACCCCCACCGTCGGAAGTTGTTGTATCGGTAGGTTAGGTTACGGCGGAGCTTCCGTTCCGATGTTAATTCAGTGGTAGTGCTGCGTGCAGCTGGTGCAGCCAGCGCCCTGCTGATACACACACACACACTCACACACAACCCAGCTAGCCCGCAGCCCTGAGTGAAAGTAAATATCGGGTGGCCTTACTGGGCGCCAAACAGCTAATCCCTTTTGCACTCCGTGGCGGTCGGATATTAGTTGCCGGGTAGTTCGTGCTTGTCAACCCGCTGCGGCCTCCCCTGGATCAGCACTCAGCCTGGCCCGCTGCAGCCCGACCCGTCTGCCGGATATCTGCTCGGCCGCTAACAACCTGTAAAGTGGCGATCCGCCATAGATAAGGCGGCACAGGTTGTGGGTGGGAGGGGCTTTGCCGGCTGGAAGTAGACTTTATAGATTCCCGACGTTAACGATACGCAGCTATCAATAATCACACTCCACCTTTTTGGGGCAGGGGGGCTGATGAAAGCTCCAGCCACTCGGTCACCGCTGATGCGCATGGCAATATATTGCAGACGAACATGATTGTATTTTTGTAAAGATGCGACTACTCGAACATGGATGCCTGGCAGGGTTGTGTGCAGTCCAACAATTTGAATTGTGCGCGCTGATTGTGTTTTTGGTTTTTGTTTGCAGGGCTTTGTGGAAGCCAACGCGAGGTGCTTCTGGAGCGCCGCGCTGCTGGAGGCCATGCGGGAGCTGAGCTTCGAGGGCTACGTGTCCCCGGGGGTGCTGCTGGTGCGGGCGGGGGCGTGCGCCATCGACGTGGTGCGGGCCGCGTGGGCGCGCCGCGTGCTCAAGCCGCCGCCCAACTACCTCATCGAGGATGTCGGTAAGGAGTGGCAAACGCCTCGGCTGTTCTGTGGCTGCCTATTGATTGATCCATTTCCCCCTAGAACAATTATGGGTGGTCACTGTCAGAAAAAACCACAGCACGAACTAGTCAAGTCCTTGCCTGATCGCATTGTAGTGAGTAAGGTACAGTATTTTGAGGTACAAAGTACAGTATCCCTTAACATGGAGTCTTATGGGAACTACAGCAAAAAAGTACAACGATCATGTACTTCACCACTACAAACATACCGTGCTTTTGCTCTACTTTGGTACAGTTTTTTTTTGACAGTGTGAGAGAGCCCCTCCTGCTGAGTACGGTTGACTGTACTCCGGAGGGCGTTCATTCATGCTCCATGTCCCCAAAGCGAGCGGGTAACCAGGAGAAATTGAAGTCTTTGTCGCAGAGCAGGTGCAACGCTTCTTCGAACTGGGGAAACCAATACCGTA